GATCGTGTCATTGCACTCCAGCCTGGGTAACAAGAGTGAAACTCCGTCTCAAAAAAAAAAAATAAATAAAAATAAAAAAAATAAAAAAAATAAACCAACTATGAAAAGCTACTGTTGGGACAATTCAGGGAAATTTGAACATGAAATAGGTAATAGATGATAAGAAATTACTGCTCATTCTGTTAGATATGGTGGTGGCAGGGAAGCTATTTTTTAAAATAACCTTTATGTTAGAGATGCATATTCCAGTACCTATAAGTAGAATAACAGAATGTCTGGGATTTACAATAAATGACTCTGGGAGGGGGAGGGGAGAAAAAAACAAGACTTGTAAAATATTAATAATTGTTGAAGCTGGTTGACAGATCTGTGGAGTTCATTATATTATTCTATTTTTTATATGCTTGGTTTTTCATAAAATTCTGAAATAAACTATTTTACAAGTCCATTTAACAAATCTGAGCAATCATTATAGACCAGGCTCTGTAATAAATGTTAACAGAAATAACGGTAAAGAAATGAGTGATGTTAAAATGAGAATGTTGCCATAATGAGATAAGAAAATAAAACATAGTAAAGAGGCAGTTTTCTTTAAGCTAATAATCCTATCTGACAAAAACAATGATGCAGCAGGTGTTCAGATGTACCCATATGTGCACACACATAGGTACCCACATATGCCCGCACATAAGGACCATAGGGGAAAGACGTAAATACAGGAGACACTTAGATAACAAGAAAAAAGTAGATGTGGGTTTTCTACTGTTGCAGGCAGCTTCCAGGATGGCTCCCAGTGAATCTGCCGCCTGCTGTTCTCTCTTGCTTACCTTTTCTTGATCAACCTGAGGGAAGCCAGATGTGCTGAGCTGTCCTAGAGGCCCATGTAGCATGAGCTGAGGGAGGGCTCTGGCCAACAGCCAGCAAGGACCTGGGGCCTTTAGCCTGCCAAGAATCTAAATCCTGCTAAAGACAACACTGAGTGAGCCTGGAAGTAGACTCTCCCCACCCACAGTGGAGCCTTGAGATGACTGCAGTCCCAGCCAATATGTGGACTGTTGCCTTACCAGAGATCCTGAGCAAGAAGATTCAGCAAGGTGTGCCTGGCGACCCTGCCCCACACAAACTGTAGATGACAAATGTCTGTCGTTTAAGCTGCTAAATTTCAGGATGATTTATTATACAGCAACAAACAGCTGATACATTCATCATCCTAATTTACAACAATGAGGCATAGTACAAGAAAGTTTAGTTATCTTGTTTTATTAGGAAAAGATAGGTGGGAATGATAATAGCATTTATTATCGAGCTCTTATTGAATAAGAAATTTATAAACTGCCACATAAGGAAAGTGTAAATTTTAATGTGGAGGTATTTTTCATAATTAAAGCAATGAGGAACATAATCAATTCTATCCTGACAAGGAATAGAATTAGATCTCAAAGGGAAAAGCATATCCTACCAAAGAGCTTTTCTTTTCCATTGGTAATAATCTAGGATTAAAAATAAATATATTAAAAAATTATGGAGGATGGGGGGCCTAACTAATTTACATAGCTGTATAGAGCATCTCATACAAATTCAAGTCAATTATACATTTATTTTTCAAAGTGTTTTTTAGTCATTTGTCAAAAAAATATATTAAGACCCTATTGCAGCAGACCAACAGAATGCTGTGATAAATACAGGATATTATAACCTCCAGGAGCATGGGAGATTAAAAAAAGAAAAACAGATACTTTAGACAGATACAGGAATGTGTTTACAGTGAAACCAAAATATAAAGGGCCAGACCATTTAATGTCATTGATCACTTCTCCGGCAGATGGTCTAAATCAACAAAAGCATCTTGGCTTGGTAAAACTGAATGTTTAAGCACTAAAGAAAGTGTTCAGTAGTAAAGAAAAATAAAGAAGACACCTTATTCATGTTTTGTAGAAATATTTTTCAAAATAGCAATTGGTCTTTTGCTTTTCCTTATCATAAAAATCACAAATATTATAGAAAGCCAAATTAGCATTCCTATATTACCTGTATTGGTAGAGGATGTATGAATTAATGGGTAACTTTTATAGTACAGCATGGAAAGGAACTGTCAACAGCTCATCATAATGCTAACACTATTTTCCTTTGTGACAGATAAAACATTCAGCTACCTTAGCATAGAAAAACAAACCATACCGATTACTGCCAACTTTCCAGTCCTGTCTCTCACCATTCTCTCAACAAAACCCTATGCTATAACCAACTGTTGCTGAAAAAAAACACTATTACTCAGTACATCTCTATTCCTTTATGCACCTATTATATCTTCCTTGAATAAAATAGCTTTCTGTTTTCATGTAACTCCTAATTGTTGCTAAAAATGCTATTTTCCTTTGCCTCCTCTGGGAAGCTGTCCATAACGATCGTCTATCTGGTCAATAACTCTAATCTGACTCAGGTATAGCACTTCTGTGCTTTTCGGTATTTGCCTCTGTAAATATCACAGTATACTATGGATCCCTGATATGCATGGGTATATAATCTGAGAAGTCTGGTCATTCATGAGTAAGACTGCCTCTTCTGCCGCAAATTTGGGACACTCAGACATCTGCAATTGTACTGAGGCATTAATATGAAACATGCATGCCACAAGATTGGTATGCAAAAGGTAGACTGCTAGCGAGGGTTTCAACTGAGAACCCAGGAATAGCTTAACAAAACTCGCTTCTTTTTTGTTGTATCAGTGTTTCTCAAACTTTTTAAACTGTGAACTACAGCAATATGTACTGTTTATATCACTGCCTAGTATACATTTACATATATAAACAAAATGCAAAAATACTCTGTATGAAATGCACTTTATTATTATTCTATTCTCCCATACCCTTCAAGTTTTCTTGAAGTGATTTTGTTATTAAGGAGATTAAATTTTGAACAAAGGAAAGACCAGTTTTGTCATTCATTAAGTGATTAAAATTTTTATTCTTTTATAAAACATAGACTACCAAGAGAAATCTATTAATGTTGAAGACAGAAGTGCAAAAACATTAATATTTAAGACAGATAAGGTCTGTGCCAGGATAAGAAAAAAAAAGCTTTATGAATGTCTTTAAGCATATGCATGGAATCACTAAGAATCTAAACGGGGGTCAGCTAAGTATTTCAGTTATATCTCAGCTGTGCTTCATGTGGTAAAACATAAGCTATAGTGGTATTCAGGAATCTGGGGATTCAGCCATTTCAGGACTATCCCTTAAGAATGCTAAGGGTCGATACTGTCTGATACTGTCTGGTAACTGTTTGTTTGACCTTAAATTGTTTACTTCACAGTGCCTGGCTCAAATAAAGATCTTGGTAAATATTTGTCATATGGGGGAAAGGGACTGTTTCAAGAGTGGTCAAGGAGATGAAAACCAAAGTAACAAGGAGAAATCATTCTTCATCCATTTTACTAAACCAGTACCTAAGAACCAGAGCAGATGCTTACTGAAACTTTATTAGTGCAAAGAAGGTATAAACAAAACAAATGTCCCATCAATTGTTACATTAACTTTGATACATTCTTATTATGGAACAGTATGCAGTGGTTAAAAATGCTTTAAAAAATATAATAGGGGACCCTGAAGGATTTCTACTATACAATATACTGCCTATAGAAATGCAAAAAGTAAAATGCAATCCAATATGGTCCCATTTTTTGTAAAGTATACCTGTGCATATATGTTTATCCATGATTATAAGAACATGGAAAAAGCAGAGAATAGATGCCAGGAGGGACTGAAAGCCATCCCCCAATACACATATTAAATGTCAACAATAAAAATACTCTGTATGATACAGTCCCTCTCATAATCATGTGTATACAGCAAATACTCAGAGATGCATGAAAAAATAAAAATTTCTAGCACATTGTCCAGTAAGAAAAAATAAAAATAAAAACAAATGTCGAAATGAATAGATAGGCTGGCTGATCTAGGTTAGAATATAAAAGAAAGAACATACAAAAAGATGTGGGTTTTTTAAAATATGGTTTTTAAAGTATGGTATTTGACTTCCCTCCAATAATTAGTACTGGTTATCACTCCTCTCCTTGAAACATTAACCTGTTTTCCATGACACCACACTGACTGGTTTTTCCCCTGCTTTTTTGGTCTCTCATTCACAAACTTTTGGGACCTCTTATTCCTTATTTGTTCTTCAGGGCCTTATCCCTCTGCCTACTCCTCAGTACACTCTCCCTAGGTAATTAGGCCTCAATTATCATCTACAAGGTAACAGGGCATTTCGAATTCAGTTCTCCTCCTGAGCTATATAGACTTCCCTATCTATAGACCTACTGGAAATCCCAGATGCCTACAACATAGTCCAAAACTAAACTCGTTTCTTCCCTCTCAAATCTTTTTCCTCCTCTGAGAGTTCGTATCAGTAAATTGGCATCATCAGCAAACCAGCTGTTGACTCCCCACTTCCCTCTGGATTAAAGGAAATGTACAAGTTCTAACCTGCATCTTTCCATAGAGCAAGACTCGGGAAAATTAAGAAGACAAATTGCGCAGATGTAAGGCACTTTTAAAAAGTCACTGTCCTCTACACAATGTGACTCCTCCATTACTGTCTTCCAGGCCCCTACAGGAATCCAATTCCCATCATTCTTCTCCAGCGCGGCCCTTCTCCTCTCTGGACAGCAGGGCAGGGTGGAAGGACTGGACCCAATACCAGACCTAGCCACTGACCTTCAGCCCAGGAGCCAAATGAAAAGAAGAGCTCACTCTACTTCCACCTGCAGGTAACTTGCCCTGGCTACACAAGGCAAAACAAGTAACAATCTCCACAGCAGCCGCTGGAAGCTAAGACCCACCTCTCCACTCCCAAACTCAGACCTCCACTAAATACCTAAGACTCTAAGGCACGCGAGACGCTGGGGGAAGGCTCCACAAGGCATCCACTGTGGATGCCCGCTCTGGTTCCACATGCTCGCGCTGCAGAGATAAACCGCTTCCAGTCCTCCCAGGCCTTACCTGGAATCTGACATTTGTTTGCAACTCAGCTGCCGCGGTTTTCCAGAGGACTTGCTTCCGGAGGAGGCTACCCCTACCCAAGAGAAGCAGCCGGCAGGAAACCGCTCCGCGGTAGGATATACAGGGGGCCGCCATGTTAGCTGTGGGAGATCCACGACCGCAGGGCCGAGGGGGCGGGGCCCAGAGGCTGCGCAGGCGCTGATGGGCCCCAGGTCCCGGCGGGTTGAGAGCAAGAGCTTCTCCCTGTCCCGCGGCGCGAAACGACACGTCGTTGATTGGGTGCATGGAGTCCGCGGGGCGTGTCCGACTCCACCCCTGGCCGCTGTCGACTGCAAGGAGGAGCATTAGTGGGTGGTTCGTCTTGGCCTGTTTTCACGTCCTGAAGTCGGTAGCTCTCCTAATCTCTTTGGCACCCACTTCCCCGTGGCCCCTTAGCCAGCCCTTCCTTCGCAGTCTCGTTGCTGCACCTCGAGCCGGCTCTTCCTCCACCTTGGAAGGACTGCCGGGGCCCCAAATGGACTCCAAACCTTACTTTCTATCTACTTTATCCAGTAGGAGTTTTCCGCTCCTCTAACTTTCTACGTTCTTCTGGATCCAAGTCAAGACCTTCCTTCAGCAACTGTCAAACCCCTCTCAGTTATCTGGCACTCTCCTGCGTCGTTTCTTAATTGCACAGTGCACAGGTTAAACCTTAAACCGGTAAGCACAAAAACTGCTTTTCTCGTTTTTGCACGTCCCTCTCTAAGCGTTGATACTAAGCCTTATTTGAAACCCAGTCAGAACTGACTAATTGTTGAATAGAGATGAATGTGTCTTGCTTTCTGAAACTTGCGTGCTCCTGGCAGTTAATTCCCGGGGTGCTTTCTACGAAACACATATTCAGTGATGTAGTAACGCACTTTATAAGGGTTTACAAACACTTAGATATGAAGGGTCAGTAAAATTAAAACATTCACAGAAAATCTGAGATCATACAAAGTTGTTAAGCAGATAAATGCCATCTACTATCACCATCATTTCACGAAACAGAACTTTTTAACATAAGAAAGGTAGAATGGCATGATTTCATAAATCTTTTAAATGGAATGCATTTACTTGTATAAAATGCTCATCCTGTTGTTCTTTTTGTTATTAGCTTTTAGCCTAGCAAAAAATTTCATGAGAAATTGGCAGAGGTCTGAGGACTAAACTCTGCTTTTTAAAGAAATCTTGTCCAAATTCCTATCTATCGGATTTGGGAAGTTATGCCCTACAAATCATAAATTCTTATCAGATGGGTTTTATTTAACCCTATATATGGTGATTTACCTTCCAACCTGGCTCTGGCATAACATTACGTACGAGACAAGGAAGAAAATCCAAATATTTTACCCAAAACATGTTTCTTTGCCGTATCTTGAAATAGCCCTGCAAAGCTGTCCTTGGAGGGGTGGAATGTGCATCTGTAAAGAATCTCTATTAACATAGCTAGATCTTTTTCTTCCAGACCCTCCCAATCCTAAAGAGATTAACTAAAATCTGAATAGGAAACATTTGTCATCTATTGTCTCTAAGGGCAGCCACTATAAGACTTCTAAAGAACTTTGGTCTCCACAATATTTAACTGAACATTCCTTTTCTATCAATCCCAGATAGAATCAAACCAGGTCTTTCTGAACCAAACCAATGTATGTCTTAAATGTATTTGATTGATGTCTCATGCCAGCCATCTTGGGCACGTGTTCTCAGGACCTCCTGAAGGCTGTGTCACAGGCCAGGATCACTCACATTTGGCTCAGAGTAAATCTCTTCAAAATATTTTACAGAGTTCGACTCTTTTTGTCGACAGGTGGATGAACTAGCATTTGGAAACCAAGACTTTATTTTATTTTATTTTATTTCCGAGACTGAGTTTTGCTTTTGTTGCCCAGGCTGGAGTGCAGTGGTGTGATCTCGGTGCACTGCCACTTCTGCCTTCTGGGTTGAAGCGATTCTCCTGCCTCAGCCTCCTGAGTAGCTGGGATTACAGGCACCTGCCACCACGCCCAGCTAATTTCTGTATTTTTAGTAGAGACAAGGTTATGCCTTGTTGGCCAGGCTGGTCTAGAACTCCTGACCTCAGGTGATCTGCCCACCTCGGCCTCCCAAAGTGCTGGGATTACAGATGTGAGCCACTGCTCCCAGCCGAGAACCAAGACTTTATAGTTTATTAAAATGGATGTATTTAAGCAGCAGTTCCTACACATTGTGAGATTATTTAAATATTTTTTTTAGATCTTAACTGTGGAAATTCAACTAGGTAGAAACAGTAAGTATGTGGAAACAGGATTTATACTATTAAAAATTTATTGATGTTGTACCATGTAAGAACAAAGTATTAAAATTAAGGTTAGGAGTTGTGGAGATTTTTCCTTTTTCTGAAATTCATGTCACAGTCCTTTACGAGAATGCCGTCATGCACTGCATAATGCAGTTTCGGTCAACAATGACCCTCACATAAGACAGTGGTCTCATAAAATTATAATAGAACTAAAAAGTTCCTCTCTCCTAATGACTTTATAGCCATCAACACATTGTACAACGCATTGCTTACCCATTTGTGGTGATGATAGCGTAAACAAATCTATGTACTGCCAGTCCTATTAAAGGACATACAATTATGTATAATACATAATACATGATAATAAACTATGTTACTAGTTTATTTATTTACCAGACTATACCTTATAGTTTTTATCATTAATTTGGAGTGTGCTTCTTCTGCTTATAAAAAGAAAAAGTTAACTGTAAAACAAACTCAGATAGATCCTTCAGGAGATATTTCAGAAGACGGCATTATTGTCATAGAGATGGCAGCTCCACGTGTGTCATTGCCCCTGAAGACCTTCCAGTGGGACACACTGTGGAGGTGGAAGACTGTGGCATTAGTGATCCTGACCCTGTATAGGGAATATGTGTGTTTCTGTCTTTGTTTTTAACAGAAATGTTTAAAAAGCTAAAAAAAAAAAAATTAATTGAAGAATGAAAAAAGTTTATAGAATAAGACTATAAAGAAAGAAAAAGAACATAAAGAAAGAAAATGTGTTTGTACACCTGTACAGTGTGTTTATGTTTTAAGCTAAGTGTTATTACAAAAGAGCCAAAAAGTTTTAAAATATTAAAAAGTTTATAAAGTTAAAAAGTTACAGTAAGCTAAGGTGAATTTCTTATTGAAGAAAGACACAATTTTTTAATAAATTTATTGTAGCCTAAGTGTATTGTGTTTATAAAGTCTACAGTAGTATATGGCAATGTCCTAGGCCCTCACATTCACTCACCACTCACTCATTGACTCACCCAGAGCAACTTCCAGTCCTGCAAGCTCCATCCATGGTAAATGTCCTATGCAAATGTACCATTTTTACCTTTTATACAGTATTTTTACTGTACCTTTTCTGTGTAAATATAGGTATACATACCATTGAGTCACAGTTGCCTCTAGTATTCTGTGCAGATTCGTAGCCTGGGAACAATAGGCTGTACCACATAGCCAAGATGTATAGAAGACTACACCATTGAGATTTGTACAGTGACAAAATCACCTAACGACACATTTCTCAGAATGCATGATTATACAGTAAACAAATGTAGTACATTTTCCAGCTGTAGGTGCAATACACGTACTCCTGCATTCAATTTCCTGTGTAGCCTTTGAATTTGGGAACAAAGGGACTGCAATGTGTTGATATTAGTTTCATAATTTGGAGACATAGGAAAGATTGAAACATGGTGATCAATCTTTATAATTTGAAAACTTTTAGTTTACCAAATGGCTAAAGCTTAGATTCTTTTCATTTTGTACTCATTTATTGAGCACCTGATGTGAGGGTTTTGTTCTAAAGACAGCTTGTAAGGTGAACATCAGGAAAATCAAAATGTTGTACTAACAACAAGTTTTGAGATACGGGATAGCAGGAACTATTAAATGCTGCTGGTAGGAGTGTAAATTGGTATAACTCTCATGAAATCAACCAGGTAATTAGTAACCTACTCAGCTTAAGATAAACGCACCCAACAATTCCTCAATTACATTCCTAGATATATACCCTGCAGAAGGTCTTGCACAGTGCATTAGGAGACATGTATTGGGATGTTCATAGCAACATTTTTGGGGGGTAACAACAAAAATAACCTGTCTGTTGGTAGGAGGATGGATAGATAAGAGGGCACATAAAGCAATGAAAATGAATGAACCTTATCTATGCATGTGAATATGGTTGAGTTTTACCAGGTAGAGCAAAAAATAGGGAGTCACATATGCATAGACACAGTAGTATTCCATTTACAAAAAAAACCCAGCAAAACTAAGCAAAATATTATTTAAGGGTTTATCCCTATATAGTAAAACTATAAAGAAAAGCAAGAAAATGATAAACACAAAACTCAGGATAGTAAATACTGCTGGGAGGAGGGAGAAGAATCCCTCCAGAAGGGTACAGGAGGTGCCAGTGTTTTTTAAATCTTTAAATGACTTGTGGATGTATAGGTATGCAACTTACCATTATTCTTGAAATGCTACATACTTGTTTGACAAGAAGAGTTGATTTTCACCTTCCATCCCTCTCTGATTGATACTGAAAGGTATGGCAGGCTGTGGCACCAGTGTAAATTGGCACAATTGTAATTTCTTTCTCCTGTGTTCCTCATACCTCATTTCCTTATTCCTGTCTCCTTTATCACCTCTGAATGATGTCATCCTCAGAAAATTGATGTCCCCCTGCTGTGCCCTGCATTTCAGGATTCCTGGAAGTCGTCCCAAGAGCTGCAGGACTCTGTGGATCAGTACGAAAATCTAAGCCTAGGAAAAAACACAAAGACTTAATGGTTTTCACAGATATCTGAGATCTTCAGAGAACTTTGGGTCAAAGATGACCAAACACTTAGTGGTATGAAAGTACGTTAAATGTGGACCAAGAAATCAGGGTTCTCATCCGAGCCCTGCCACAGAATTACTCGGACGTTTGCATGTCATTTAGCTTAGAGGAAACCCTACGTTTCTCACCATTGTAACCAGGCAGTTAGATTTGACTAGTGGTACTCAAAGTGTGGTTCTCAGAGCAGGAGCATCAGCATTACCTGGTTAAATTGTGTCCCACAAAAAGATTGTAGAGTCCCACCCTCTGTACCTCCTAATGTAACTTTACTTGGACATAGGGTCTTTA